AGAGAGAGAGAGAGAGAGAGAGAGAGAGAGAGAGAGAGAGAGAGAGAGAGAGAGAGAGAGACCTGAAAGCTCGCTGGCTCCCCGCTTCGCGACACCCGAGCTGAAGGCCGGCTCCCTGATGGCAGAAGACGAGAGCAACCTGGTCTGCAGGAGGAAGGCGGCAATGGCAGCAGCTGCTCCAACGTTGGCAACGGCGGCAGCAGCTCCAAGAACGCGCGTGGCAGCAGCTTCGACAGGCGGCAGCTTGGAGGAGGCAGCGGCTTTGAGCAGGCGGGCGGCGGGGGCAAGTTGAAGTCCTCGTTCGAAATTGTGCCGCCTGTGCCGTCACGAGGGAAAATTTTCCCTCTCGTGTCTGGCAGTGACCGGGAGGCTGAAACACGCCTCAAAAAAATGTGCCATATTTTTAACGGCCGCCGAGGGCCTGAACCTACACCCTAGGCCCCGCCAACAAATTTTTAAAAATCCTTCGTAGGGGGGCCAAACCGGACACCCATCACAGACTACCTGGTCCAGACTGTCTGGATGGGGTTCCGGACGTCCGGTCGGTAGCCATGATTCAAAATAAATAAATTGTTACTATTTATTATTTAATCGTAGATAAAGTGGAATGGAAGAGATTTGAATTGCTCATATCGACCTCGATCTTCTCTCTGAGACTTATGAAATGTCATGTGCCTGAGTCCAACTTTCCTCGCAGAGCCCCGTCCCAAAGCCTTAAAAACTGAAACGTCTTACCTGTTGTGCAGGCCAGGCTGCCTTGTTGCAACGAGCTCTTTTGTAATGCCTTTCTGTATCTCAAGGGCTTTGTTTTGTGATTTCTCTATTTCTTTTGTCGGCGTTTCTCCATGCCAATCTTATCTCCGTTTCTACCTGCTGCTGTTGATTGGGGGGACCGTGCTTCTTTTCTCCGCCCGACATAGCATATCTATCTGTAGATTCCTTACGTCTTCGTGCATGGTATCGTGATTTTTCCATGTCTTTTGTTGGCATTTCCTCCATGCCACTCTTATATCTGTTTCGAGTCTTTCGGCCTGCTGTTGAATGGGAGACCACACTTTTTCTTCGCCCAGCATAGCCCGTCTGTACTGAGCTTCATGACATATTCGTCCTTGTTATCATCCATAAGAGGGCGTTTTCTTTTTTTTTCCCTCCTTCAACATCTGAAAACTGTAAAAATATTTTATTTTAAAGGTAGTCCCAGTTGGTGGGTCGATGCCTGTTAGAATCAGTAGGAGGGAGATCTCGGGGTGTTCCTCGCTTTTAACACAACTGCAAATTTTCTCGGCTCTGTCCCAAAGTGGGGTTACCCTGTTGCACCTGAAGAAACAGTCGATGATGTCTGGAAGATGTCTGGAAGATGTCTGGAAGATGTCTGGAAGATGTCTTCCACTAGTCCTGTACTGTTGAAACAAACCCCGGTTCTCCTTCCGTCTTCGTTTGTTTAGCTGTTTGTTAACTGACTGGAAGTGCCAGCTAATGTATGAGCTACTGCTGTGGAGGTGTGGTGCGGAGGGGGTTACTCCGTGCCATGGAAGCTTTTCCAATCTTGCTGGGGCTCTTCGTTGGGGTCTTTCCACAATCCCGTCGGTATAGTTGCTTCCCCCCCCCACCCCACCCCACCCCCCGCCCCTCTTAATTTGGACCATTTCTCGATTTATGCTTGTCATCCGTGCGCAGGGGCCATGCTAATCTTCTCTGTATCACTATAGTT